TATAGGTACCCTTTCTTTGGGACATTCTTATCCCATGTGGAAAGACTTTATAGGGGGGAACTGACAAACCCCAATTTTGGAAGACTTTTCGATGAAGATAAAGAAATCTGAGCTTCTGAAACGCTGTTCTTACTGCATGAGCTTAGTTCAGAGGAAGTAACTCATACCGCTTGGAAATTATCTCTTTTTTTATGGTGGGAACTCGTCTGATTCTGAGTCAATTTCATTGGTCTGATTAAATTCCGAGGATCGCAGCAGCCGGAGGCTTATTGTGCTAAATCTTCCTGCTTAATGGACCTATTCCAAAACCCTGGTTCCCTGCAGTAGGCGAAGTAGGTCTGTTGGTTGTTCGCCGTATGTGTCTGGATCTAGTTCATCTTCTGCAAATATATTTTGTCTTCTGATGCGAGTTAGTGCCTTGCATTCTGATATAATGTTTGGCTGTTTTGGTCTCTGTTCCGTATAGTTTGCAGTGTCTCCGTTGTACAAAGCCATTGTTTGCAGGTGCTTCATCAATGGGGCATGCCGAGGGGCATGCCCAGTAAGAAAGCCGGTTGCTTGATTCCTACTTAGTTGAAGCAGTTTCTCGGCATTGTATTACCAGTGCAGAGCTTACCTTAGGGTTCTTTAAGGCCCCCAGCGCTGCCTGACTGTCTGTGAGTCTCCTGTCTTTGCAGGTCATATTGTTGATTTTTGCGAATTGTAGTATTGCATATACCTCTGCTTGGAAAACAGATGTATGTGACCCTAGAGAGAAGAAGGTCTTACATCTCCCTATTCTCCCTTCTTGACTGTAGATTCCTGCGCCTGTGCCATTCTTATTCTTTGATCCGTCCGAGTACCAGGTTGAGCCTTTGAGATTGGAAAGTGCCTGTTGGTCTTCACATTCCTCCCTTTCACTAGTTAGGACTTGGAAGGATATGTCGGATGAGTATGTATGTCTGTCAGATTTACGACTTCTGTTATTTGTGTGTGGTCTGATCTGACTGTTGGTTTGCTCAAGTTTTTTCGTTGTCTGTGGCGGCCCATCCTAGCTTCCACCTGAATTACAATGTGTAGCGGAGGTAGGTCTAGTAGGACTTCCATAGCTGCTGTTGCTGTGTTTTTCATGCACCCTGTAATGCCCAGACATGCAAGTCTTTGCATCCTGCCAAATCTTATAATGGTCCTGTCTTTTGTATCTTTGGCCACCATACCAAAGATGCATAGGTTATCGCTGGCTTTACAACCGTTATGTATACCAAGTGCATCATGTCCGGCCGCATCCCCCATGTTTTGCCAAAGGTTCTCCTGGCTAGTTATAAGTGCCAGTTCTGACCTTTTAATTACTTTGTCCAGATTTTGTTCAAAGTTGATTTTTTTGAGTCTATGATTTCCCCAAGATATTTAACTTCGTAACTGGAATTCCTTGAAGGTGAAGAGGTCCAAGTTCCTCCATTTTTTTTTTTTTTTTGGTAAAGGGGACGATTGCCAATTTGGTGGCACTAATTTTCAACCCTACAGTCTCTGTCCACCTAGAGACTATCGTTAGAGCCTGCTGCATGCGATTTTAATTGTATGGTTAAATTTTCTCTGAGATATTATGACCAAATCATCTGCATAATCCACGAGTTGATGGCTCTTGCTTTTTAGTAGCTCTATTAGCTCGTTCATTATCAGATTCCACAGCAAGAGTGATAACACTCCGCCCTGCGTACATCCCTTTACAACCCGAGTCGTTACTGTTCTACCGAGAAGCGTAGAGTAGATGACTCTACCTCGAAGCATGCAGTCTATCCACCTGCAGCATGTATCGTCGATTCCTCGTCGGCGTGAAGCTCTCATGATTGCCTCAAAGGAAGTTTTGTCAAGCCATCCCTCTATATCATGGAAGACTCCCAACATAACCTTGTTTTCTAACGTACTTTCTTTCCACTGGACGAGGTGATGTAGTGCTGTTTCAGTTGAGGTTCCTGCTTTGTAAGCATATTGGTTCTGATGTATTGTTCTGGTAACCAATGCACCACCCCGAATGTAGAGCTCAAGCAGTTTTTCTAGAGCCTTCAACAAAACTAACATGAGGCTTATGGGTCTCAGAGCTTATGCATTGTCCTGTCCTATCTTGCCAGGTTTGGGGATGAAAACAACTCTGATTTCTTTCCAGGCTTTGGGAATATGATTCACTAAGCTTGCTGTAAAAGTATAAACAGGAACCTGGAGCATAGCTTGCTATTGCCTTTTTGTTGTAACACTGAATCAATCCCATCTGGTTCTGGCGATTTATATGGCTCGAATGATTCAATTACCCATTTGAACCTACGCCATGTTACTACTTTTTCTGCCATCTGCCAGTCTTCCATGGTGCCATATCTGGTTGTGGCTAGGTCTACATAGTGACGGTTTTCGGGATTTTCTTCAAGGATCACTCTATCCGGGAAGCGTACTCTATAAAGCTCTTCTAGTCTCCTGTTCGATCTGAGTGTAGTTTTTTCCATTTTCTGTTCTTGAAGAGCCAATCGTTCCTGGAGTGTCCTTGGAAAGGATTTTATGGAGTCTGGCACTTGGATGCTCCCAGGCATATGTTGTATTTTGTATTCAGTCAGAGCTTTACGGTACTCGCTTAACTCTCCTGTTTCCTTCATTAAAAAATATCCTTGTTTCCTTCCCTTGGTCGTTATTCCACCAGGGCACATTCCTGTTGGAATAACTCGTAATTGCACGATAGAAGTTCATGTAGGCGGATGTAACAGCGGTCTGCAGTTGTTCCGCTGCTAGGTCCATTTTACGGTATTTCTTATCCTTCCAGTTTATTCTGCGGGGGTTCCGATAAGTTTCCGTTTCAAGACTGTGTCCTGTTATTTCAAAGCTAATGTACTGTGATCTGAACAACTCACCTCATTAGTTACATGCCACTTTTTCACGAAGCTACTATCAAATGTTGTAGATACCGTTATGTCGAGTAGGTACCTCCTTTCTAGCAGTTGTTTTTATCCCTTACACATGCGTTCAGCTAGTCAGCATCGGTTCGGAGACTTCTGAGCCAATAAGTCTTTGTGCACCAGTTGGTATATCTGTAAACAAATCTGTAAACCAAAAAATATCAATATAGCAAAAAAATGGGATCATTCCAAAGAAATCTTGCGCCGTTCAAAAAAGGGTAGAGCTCATTTGAAATGATGAATGTGCCCCAAGATTAACTACGAAAATAAAACTTTTGTGCTGCTGTCTTTCCTGTTCTAAGGTTCTGAGTCATGAATTTATACCGAAGAAGCAGGTCTATAAACCTAGCAGTCCCAAGGTGGAAAAAAACTTCGGGAACTATATAATAACTAGGTGCTTTTCAGGTGCTAATTAGGGCCTCTAATTAAAAATTAGGTGCTCCTTTAGTTTTTAAGAAAATCAAAAAAAACTAAGGGACTGCTAGGTTTATAAAAGCTAGCAGTCCCCTACAGTAAAAAATATTTTTTCAATTTTTTTCTTTGTATCAGAATTAGGTGCTTTTTAGGTGCTCCTCAATAGTCCAAGAAAAAATAGAATTGATTAATTATCAACTGAGTTACAGATTTTTTTTTAATTATTAGGGGACTAGTGGCTCTACGTTTACATGTTGGTGTGTCAGAATGGAAAAAAACTTCGGGATCTATATAATAATTAGGTGCTTTTTAGGTGCTAATTAGGGCCTCTAATTAAAAATTAGGTGCTCCTCTAGTTTTTGAGAAAATCAAAAACAAAATTTTCTTTTATATCAGAATTAGGTGCTTTTTAGGTGCTCCCAAATAGTCGAAGAAAAAATAGAATTGATTAATTATTAACTGAGTTACAGATTTTTTAAAAATTATTAGGGGACTGCTGGCTTTATGTTTACTTGTTGGTGTGTCAGAATAGCAAAAAAACTTCGGGATCTTTATAATAATTAGGTGCTTTTCAGGTGCTAATTAGGGCCTCTAATTAAAAATTAGGTGCTCCTCTAGTTTTTGAGAAAATCAAAGAAAACTAAGGGACTGCTAGATTTATGAAAGCTAGAAGTTCACTAATAATTAAAAAGAAAATTTGTAACTCAGTTAATAATTAATCAATTCTATTTTTTCTTCGACTATTTAGGAGCACCTAAAAAGCACCTAATTCTGATACAAAAGAAATTTTTGGAAAAATATTTTTCACTATAGGGGACTACTAGCTTTCATAAACCTTAGTTTTTTTTGATTTTCTCAAAAACTAGAGGAGCACCTAATTTTTAATTAGAGGCCCTAATTAGCACCTAAAATTATTATATAGATCCCGAAGTTTTTTTTCCATTCTGACACACCAACATGTAAACGCAAAGCCAGCAGTCCCCTAATAATTAAAAAAAAAATCTGTAACTCAGTTAATAATTAATCAATTCTATTTTTTCTTCGACTATTTAGAAGCACCTAAAAAGCACCTAATTCTGATACCAAAGAAATTTTTGGAAAAATATTTTTCACTATAGGGGACTACTAGCTTTCATAAACCTAGCAATCCCTTAGTTTTTTTTGATTTTCTCAAAAACTAGAGGAGCACCTAATTATTATATAGATCCCGAAGTTTTTCTGCCATTCTGACACACCATCAGTCCCCTAATAATTAAAAAAAAATCTGTAACTCAGTTAATAATTAATCAATTCTATTTTTTCTTGGACTATTTAGGAGCACCTAAAAAGCACCTATTTCTGATACAAAGAAAAAATTTGAAAAAATATTTTCTACTATAGGGGACTGCTAGCTTTCATAAACCTAGCAATCCCTTAGTTTTTTTTGATTTTCTCAAAAACTAGAGGAGCACCTAATTTTTAATTAGAGGCCCTAATTAGCACCTAAAAAGCACCTAATTATTATATAGATCCCGAAGTTTTTTTCCACCTTAGGACTGCTAGGTTTATAGACCTCGGAGAAGCAACTCAAAAACCTGATGTCTCCGAAATATGGCTATGCTGATCATGTTTTGTGCTACCTACAAAGAAAGGCTTGGAAATTGTTTTTGAAAGTAAAAAATGGGTATTAGGTAAACATATTATGCGCAACAATCATCAATTTGAAACATACAGCGCATATTTAGGACATCTAAAATGACCACAATAAAAATCAAAATTTAAAATCACCATATCCATTATCAGTATAGGTACTTTATTACAAATCACAATTTTACTAAAAATTTAACAGCCTTAAAACAACCACCAACACAAAACTACCCCAAACATATCTAAAACATTCAATTCCACCTTACTACTACCCCCAATAGTATAATTTCCAGGATTCAACACTTCCCTTGTCACAAATATCTCAGAATCATTAAAACCTACAGCAATTGCAGTAGTCGCTTTATTATTCTTATCACAAATATATTCCAGACTAACATTGGACAAACATTTCCCGCACTCAATCATTTCTTCTACAACTCTTACGGGTAGTTTACATGTGTGATCGCATTCGTTTCCGTAAGCCTCGTCCAAAACCATTTCGTAAAAAGTCTCTATTTGGGCTGTGTTTGGTCCATGGCCCAGTGGCGAAAACAACCAGCCCAAGTTATCGCAGCTACACAATATTTTGTTCCTGCTAAACATCATTTCTGTTTGCACGTTTTCATAGGAAACGTAATCCGGATGCAAAGAGCCTGCTTCCGTAAAACTCAAAGTGTTTTTGCTAAAATCATAAACAAATCGTAATTTGCCAAAATTTCTTCCGGAATCTTGGATTAAGCCTGGACTAAGCGATTCCAAAGCTGAGCTTTTCATGTACAGAAAGTTGTTTTGTAAAATGAATATGTTGGTACCCAATATGGAAAAAGCTAACGGGTATAGGGTTTCCACAAAATTATCGGTGAAGTAAAAGTCTTCCATGGTACCATTGATACCGCTTGATGATATTTTTGAAAAATGATTATCAGCAAATATAGTTCTTTTTCCGTAAATCTGCAAAGCCATATACTCCAAGGTGTCTATGACGCAATTTTTCATTTCAAATCCGCCTTTGAAATCTTGCATTAGTCTTATGCCATGAGTTTGGATTCTTTTGATGTTAACTCCAATAAAACTGAAATTTTTAAATTGGTTTAAAGCAACGAAAGCATCTGATTGGATAGTGTCTATGGTGACATTCCTAAAATAAACATTCTGGAAATCTTTTGGCTGCACATAACAGCCTACTGAATAATAGCTTTTGATTATTTGATTGAACGATTTAGTTGGTATTGAGTCTATGTTGGATACGTTTTCGAAAATCACTGTAGGTGGCAGCATTGAGTCGTACTGGAGTCTTTGAAAGATGAGATTTTTAATGTTGTAGATTTCTAGCTTGGAAATCGGTCTCATTTCACCTGAACATCTTGTAGCCAGACTCAAAGTATTGCAATTCTGAATTTTGAGGCTGTCAATGTTGGAGGGAGCTGAGAATTGGTTATGAAAGAAAATGACATCCTGGAAATGATTGAGTTTTATTATATTTGAAAGAATTTGTATTTATATACTTACATCAACTCCTTTAGAGCAGTCATAAACAATATCAACTTTCTTGTTGGAATTTGTGAAGCACGTAAATCCGTTTTTTGCACACTGCTTGAAATACACTCGAGTGCCTGCATAGGAATTTTTTAAAAATATTAAAAATAATAGTAATTGATGAAAATTCATATTTTTGATTTAATTAGGAAGAGCTCACAAAGAGGACTGTAGATTATAATTATTACCAAGAGAATCATTCTGATGATTTTTTCATCTTATTAGAGTTGTGCGCATCAATAATCGATTCCAATTTATTACCAGTATTCAGTATAAATTCTATTAAGTCGATATTAAAAACCCGTCTCTATAGGTAATCAAAAAGGAAGTTCTTATCCCCTGGAATATTTTTCGAACAGTAATTAGCAAACAGGAAACTCGCCAATTTTGCACTATCTAGTCATAAATATTTTTTTTTGTTTGGTAGCAAGGTTGGACTTGGACACGGTCTGGTTTGATAACAGTATCAATAAAATTATATCATTGTAGGAAGCAATTTGCATAGAACATGATTTCAAGTACTTTCTTATCGAATGAAAAAACTGAAAATTCTTCTGGTTATACGATTTTTAATTGGCAATTTATGAATGTGTCCGTGAAACGGTTGATGGACACGCAAACTGTTCGGATTTATGGGCATTTTTCGCCTTTACGAGTCCGGATTTGCGCGCCGCTATGTAATTTTCTAATTAACTCCAGTGTTTTATTGACACGTTCCTGAAATAACGGTCATCGGTGTATTATGATTGAGTGATTTCTGACATTTGCCTGTCTCATTAGCGAAAGAGCACATTTTTTATTTTCCGATGGAAAAATCATCGTACATAACCCTCTCGTGGTTGGGAAGGCCATCCATCAAGCTGATGAAAAAAACACGTTTCTTTTTGCTCCTATGGCCCACATTTTTCTCGCTCTCGGATAAACTCTAACGGGATAAAATATTATGCAGCGTCAGACGTTAGCATTCATGCCCGTTTGGGCGTTAGTAAATTTGGGGTTATTAATTTTTTAGTATCAGTTTAAAGTGACATTGTAATCGTGAGCATTTCTAAGGGGGTTGAAGTTTTTTTGATGAATGACGAATCGTTTCGAACACTGAAGGAGGATGGAGATAAATTTCTGATCGAACAGAATCCAGTAATTCATAAATTGTGCATGTTAAAGTCATTGTTATAGCTTGAAGTGTTCTTTAGAGGCTCTGCATATTTCTAATTTTCTTCAAACATCATCATGGAAAATAGTCTTATCTCTATTTCTGTGCTCTAGATCCACTGCCAGTTTTACTCTGCCTAAAAAAAAACTACTCTGAACATTTAAAAAGGTTACGGTCTCTGTGAGGTCTATAAATATTTTTTTAGGGGCTTCCAAGACCCAAATTCAATTTTAAGGATTTGAGCAACAATGTGAAAAAAATCTTAACTCTATTTCTTCACTCCCCTTTATTTTGTCTGATAAAACAGAATCCAATTTATAAATCCTATAAATGTTAAAGTTATTGTTACAACTTGAAGTGTTCTTCAGAGGTTCTTAAAAGGGATTTTAGGGAAATTTCCAAATTTCTTCAAACATCATCATGGAAAACAGTTTTATCTCTAATTCCGTGCTCTAGATCCACTTCCGGGTTTACTTTGCTTGAAAAAAGACTCTAATATGAACATTTAACACATTCAGCACCATGGCGAACATCGGTGTCCCATGAGATATAGTTCCATCAGTACTGGGACTCTAACGAATAGAAATATCTCTCTAGAGAAAATATCTCTATCGTTATTGAGGTTTTCTCTCTATTGATTTTGACAAGACAGAAGAAGACAGCAAGTGCCATAGCGATAGGGATAACTATCTCTATCCGTTACAGAGTTCCAGCCCTGGCCACAGCGGTCACCACTCACCCATTAACATTGGCCAGCGAACAGGCAAATTCCAGCCATTGTCCTCTCTGGCCTTATAAAATGGCGTATAAATCTTGGGCTCTGAAAAAATCATTTGTAAAGAGTTTAGAAACTGAGTCCGCTCACAAGAGCTATGGACTGTGAAAAATAATTTAAAATAACTTTGTACCTACTCTAGGGGCCAGGGCGGACACGGTTACATATCAACATATACTTCTTTACCGGGTGTCCGCCGATTATTTTGTGTTTGATATAATATACGTTATGGCCTGGGAAGTTATCCAATTGTGTGTTCGCTATGGCCTGCACAGATAGCACACAAAGTCTTTTAAAGACGTCTTTTTCAGGTTTGCATTACGTCTAAACGTCTGAAGACCAAAAAAAAAGTTGTTTTGAACACGTCTATAAGATGTCGTAAATTCACATCTTGAGGACAACTATTTGGTACAACCGAGCCTTGAAGTGAATAATGGTTCATGCATTGAATAGAAATTCAAAGACGTTTTCAAGACATCTCGTTAAAGACGGCTTTAGGATATCTCAGTCCTAAAGACGTCTTTAGGCAGATGTCTGGAAGACGCTGGGTTTTGTAACAAACGACGTATTCGAGATGTCTTTAAGACACCTTAAAGACATCAGTAAAACGTCTTGAATGTCGTTTGTGGACATCTCAGGGATGTGATTATGTGATGAAACTATTACTAGAATGCTACAGAACACTTTAGCCGTTTGGATAGTTCAAAATTCAATTTCCAAAAGTATTCTGTAGCGCTACAGAACACACAACTACATTTTTGTAACTTGAGAACCATTATAGAATGTCCCAAAAAATTCAAAAACCGATTTACAATTATTTCCAAAAGCATTTTAGAACAATTCACAAATTTGAAATCATTTCAGGACGCCCTAAAACACTCAAACACTCTAGAATCTCCAGAACATTTTGAAAAGCGCTAGAATCTTAGGATTCAGGTTAGAAGCTACAAAACGCCTTTGCTGTAGAACTTTAGAGTAGACTTTTAATAAACATCCAAAACAGTTTAAATCCAAATCAGAATTTTCAGGAGCATGTTGGAACAATTTAGAAACTTCAAAGTTATTTTAGAACAATTAGGATTCAATTTAGAACTCTTTTGAACCAATTTAGAACAATTTGGAACATCAACTGAAAAACTTCTAGAATGCTCCAAAACTCTTCAAGCCAAGTTAGAACACTTTAGAACTTATTCAATAAGCCATTTAGAACGTTCGAAAACACTTTCCAGAAGAAAGGATCCAGAATAATTTGAAAACTTAGAATTAATTCAGAGAGCCTAGCGCCTGGAATAGACAAAAATTGAAAGTTATAAAATGAGTAATAATAAGGAAATATAAGCAAGAAAATGTTTCCCTTTCAATATTGTTTCCTTGAACGCGATTTTAGGGAAATTTTCAAGTATACCTTCAAGCATCAACATTAGCTCTATTTCCAAGCTCTAATTTTACTTACACTTTATTTTATCTGATGAAAATAAAGCAGATTCTAGTTCATAAATTCTGTACAGTTTAACGTTACAGCCAGTTTTCCAGAGGCAGCCAAATGCGATTTTATAGGGTACATACTTTTCTAATTTCCTCCGAGCTTGATGCTGCACGGAACAGAAATCCTAACTCCATTCCCGAGCCCTAGATTCTCTTCCGATTTATTTTGACTGATAAAACAAAATCCAATTTACAAATCCTAAAAGTTTGAAGTCATTGTTACACATACAATGGTTACATCTTATATTTTTGTTTGTGGTATTATTTCCTCCATTTCACAGTAACTTAAAAGTACATATTATTATTGAGTTTATACTTACCTATATATTCTCAACATTTCTCCTGAACGCTTTGGGCGCTCACTAATGATTTCGGTAAAAATATAGTGAAGGTCTCTCTACTGCCCAATTTTTAAAACAAATGGAGAAACTGAAGAAAGAGGGTCTTTATTACTTATATCAGCTTTTCCATGCAACTGAGGACAGTGGCACTTTGTCTCGTTTCAAAAATCAACCACCAGACGAGTTCATTCATATTCGAACAGTTTTGTGTCTAGTTCAACATTTCTTGCATAATCTTCAAATAGCTTTATTTTAACTCCTGGATCTCCAACCAACATCAAACCAAGAAGCAATTCCACTTCTGTATAGAATAATTTCATGTCCATATTAATTAAATTGGGTTTGGTTGGATGCAGAGACAATTCGCCTGGTTGGTTTAAGAAGAAAAAAAACTCTAAATTAAATAAAACTTGGCATTGGAATTGCAAAGACACGCCACAGCAGGATAGACAAATATTTATTCAGACAGGCTCGGCCGTTGCCGGTGTTAACAAGCATCTTATGGCGAAAACATTTTACAAGAAAGACGATAGACGAGAGCTTAATAAACACTTGACAAACGCTCTACGATCTCGAGGGGGTCTTAAGCCACAGAAATATATTATGTAGCTCCTTTAGTGTTTACTATGTGGTGCTCGCGAAATATCTCTTTACCGTAAACTTGGATAGAATAGAATATTCATCAATAATTTTTAGTAGCTGCATAGGTAATTGATTGAGCCCGGAAAAAAACAATGACGCAGACAAAGAGGTAATGGGTAAATTATACAGCTTTTACACGGGCTGAAGAAAATTGGTGTATCCATTTAAAGGCACTATACGGTCCCAGTCAGGAAGTGAACGGAGCTCAAAAGGTCGCAATGATTTCCATTAATTTTCTTCTCGTACCATTAAGACGCCCTCGTTTATCCAACCGCACCAGAGAAAATCTTTTCGATGCTCTTTTTTATAATATGATTTATCGCTTCATAAGATGAAGACAAAAATAGAGTTAATGGATATTATTACTCTAAAACACACTCAGATGATAATTATCAAATCTTAAAGCGTGTGCACAATATTTGCCTTAAAAAATCCTTGGTTCTCTGTTCAAAAGCCGCCTAAAGCGGTACCGCGGTACCACATCAAAGACCCACCGGTGGTAAATTATAGGCCTTAGAGTCAATATTTTTCCAGGGTGTTTAAAAAGTAGCTGTCTTCCAATAATTACCTCCTAGAATTAGGTTGTGTTGATTCAAGCTAATTGGATTGTTATTTGTATTTGTATGAATGTTCCTTTGTGTAAAAATGCGCTTTAAAAAGTTTTCCTCGGAAAGAGTTATACATCTCAAACTTAAATAGGGGCCCAATTAAAAAACTTTACCAGAAAAGTTTTTCAATTGTCGGCCGAGTCTCAACAGTA